CTATATATAATTTTAAGTGATATCATAATGTTTAAAAGTATTCATTTATAATAATTGATTATTCATTTTTTTCAGTGTTTTTATTTCTTAGAAATATTTAGAAAAATTTCTTCACATCTAATTTTTAAGTAGAGTAATAAGTAATGAAATATATATTTACCATTGACAGTGTAATTATTATTGAGTTACCTCCGTAGCTCAACAACTTATTTTGTATCATAAAATCGTTACTAAAAAATGATGTAACACTAAATTTCATAAGAATATAACTATTAAATAATTTAATATCTAATTATGCTGTTGTCAATTTTTTCATAACTTATATGATTTTTTGTATATTTTCCTTGCAAAGCAACGAAAAAGTTAAACGCTTATGTTATTTAAAGTAATCGGTGTTTTATATAAATTCTCGAGACATGCACTTGTATATACGAGTATGTTACTGTTAAAACTATTCACTGAAGGTACATGTTTGCTTCGTATTACTATAAGTATCACGTGCAGCTTAAAAACCATCAGAAAAAAACTTGTCGGTTCTCTTGCACGTATAACGATGAACGTGCAGTACGTGACATCGTTATTTTGTTGAACATTTTATTAAAGTTTGTATTTTCTTAATCTTGTGACGATTTCTATGCATATTATTTTTGTACAATTTTGATCATATTTTGTGTTATTCAAACAAATTGTGAACAAAAATAGCCAAAAAAAAAAAAAATTAATAAAAATTTGTACGTAACTGCCATTACTTTTATCTTATAGTGTTACTAAATTAAATATCAAAGATCAAAAATTAATAAGGAATGTTAAATAGTAGTTAAAATATTTACAATATACTCTATTGTACCCTAACCTGATATTTTACAATAATTTCTACAAGATTCCACGTTTTAATTTTTATAAGTATTCAAAATTTCCCAATAAAAAAAAAGTTACTAAATAATTACATTTTTTTAATTTTTTTCCAAATGTGTTTACAAAATTTAAGAAAATAATTCACCCTTTACTTACATACCTCAATTATACTTAGGGGGATTTATAAGTTTAAAATAATTCAACGCACTCAATGTTGTCGTACTATTGCCACTACCCTCAGCTAAATTAAATGTTTTTATGGCTATCTATTAATTTATTTGAAACATTTTTAAGAATCTATTACAAGAAATAATAGAAGGGAATAATTTATTGCATTTAAAATATGCATCGCTTCATCAGACGTAGAAATATCATTTTCAATATTAATAAATTTATTGGTCAATAATCAACGACTTTTTTAGTTAAAAAACATAAAAATACTGAAGGTATACTGAAAGTATACTATTACTCACGATGTATATTTTTACTTGTAAAAAAATATATAGAAAAAGCAGTTCAAAGTATAGTAAAAGAACAAAATGAGAGAAAATTGAATGGAGTATAAACGTTTGTCTAGAGAAGCCAAGTGTGTGGTAAGTAAGGCGAAGTTTAAGAAGTATGATGAGTTGCATGATAGACTAAGAACAGAGGGAGGTGAAGATGAAGTCTCTACACTTGGAAAAGTAATAGTAAACCGTCTAAGTATTATTAAAGTGAAAGTTGTATATAAAGTGATGATAAAAGAGTTCTAACGAGCGATGATCATGTGAAATGAAGATGGAAAGAGTATTTTGAAAAATTAATGATAAAGGAATATTCAAGAAACATATTAGAAAATATCTTATGGAACGAGGTACTGGTATATTTAATTAATGACAAAGAGGTATTGGAAGCTGTGGTATCAATACAAATGAATAAAACAGTAGTACCAGATGAAGTGCCAATAGAAATATGGAAATTATTTGGTAGTGTTGTCATAAGGTGATTAAAGGATTTTTTTAATAAAATCATATTAAATGGTAAAATATCAAAATAATGGAGAAATAGTATTGTAGTGCCGATATTTAAAGGCAAAAGAAGATATACTAGAATGCAAAAATTATAGAGGCATAAAGCTTATGAAGATTTGGGAATGACAAAATTATAAGACGAGATATATCAGTAACAAAGAAACAGTTTGGTATTTTATCTGGAAAATCAAGGATGGAGCCAGTTTTTTTTGAAAGAAAACTAATAGAAAAATACAGAGAAAAGAAGAAAAAGTTGTGTATGGTATTTATAAATTTAAAGAAAGCGTATGATAGAGTACCGAGAGAGGTTTTAAAGTGGGAATTTGTGAGAAAAGGAGTCCCGATAAAGTACAATAATATAATAGAAAATATGTATGATGGTACTTGTAATAGGGTAAAATGGTGATAGGAGTAACAAAAGATTTTAGGGTAAAAGTAGGAGTGCACCAAGGTTCTACTTTAAGCCATTACTTATATTCTGTAGTGATGGACATAATTACTAAAGAATTAAACGGACAGCTAGCGTGGTAAATTTTATTTACTGACGATATAATGTTAATAGGAGAAAATAAATCAAATGCTAGAGGTGTGGAGATAATCTCTTGAAGAAAATAAGAATAAGTTGGGGTAAGACAGAGTATATAGAGTATGAGTTTGACAAAGAAGAACACGAGGTAAGTGAACTGATATCCTCAGTGATAATAAGCGAGGACATGATAGGAGCGGTAGAAAGTTTTAAGTATTTAGGATCAGTTGTGCAAAAGAATGGTGGTATTGATTAGGATGTAAGACACAGGGTTCATTGCAAATGGTTAGAGTGGAGAGAAGCGTCTGATGTGTTATGTGATGAAAAAATTTAAATGAGGCTGAAAGGTTTGTTCTATATAAGTATTGTAAGACCAGCCATGATGTAAGATACAGAATGTTGGGCGGTTGACAAGAGAATGAGTGTAGCAGAGATGAGAATGCTTAGATGGATGAGTGGAGTGACTAGAGAAGATAGGATAAGAAATGAGAATATAAGAGGGAGTATAGGTGTAGCGTTAATTGTGGATAAGATAATAGAAAATAGACTTAGATGGTTAGGTCATATTATGAGGAGAGAGGAATCGAAAGTTGTAAGAATAGTTATAGAAATGAATGTTAAAGGAGGAAGAGGTAAAGGAAGACCAAAAAAGAGATGGAAGAATGTTATTGAATGTGATATGAGGACGGCTGATGTAGGACATCGCGTTAAGTGGAAGTTTAGGATAAGGGTGCATGACCCCAAGTAATTGGAATAAAGGCAAGGAAGAAGAAGACTTGTATAAAAAAAAACCCAGCACAGGGGGGTCGCGGCACAGTGGTGACGTGGCATAGTTGGATCAAGTATAATGATATCTGACAGTGATTAAAATCACTATCAAAAAAAAACGCTTCGATGCAAATCTTTAGATAGTGTTTAATTTTAAAAAATTGGTGGATTATTCCAAAAGCTTCATAAACTGCTAGTTCCTTATTAATATCCTGATTAAGATAAAGTATGTCGAATGAAAAAGGGATTATTAAAAAATAGTATTTCCCATAAAAAAATTATATTGATCAATACACTTTTCAATAAGTTATAGCATTATAATGTTAAAAATGTAAAAAATAAAATTGAGAATTTTCACACAATAATAGCATTTGGTAGCCATTTTCACCGTGAAGACAAAATAAAGTCCGAAATTTTTTTTTTACATAATAAAGTAGATTACATTAGCTTTAATTTAATATATATAGAAAAGTGTCAGACTTTCCGGAACACTTTCAAAATTTAAGTTGAAAAAGTCAATTTTTTGTGAAAAAGTTGTCATTTTGAATCCCCCCCTGTAGGCAGGTAAAAAGTCAGCTTTATAAAAAAAATATACCAAATGATAGGTAAAGACATCATGCATCTACAAAAAAAAGAATTATATTGATCCATACATCTTTCGAGAAGTTATAGCATTATAAAGTTAAAAATATAAAAAAGAATTTTTTTACAAAAATCGTATTTTTTTTATTAAGTTTAATGTCTGTTTTCACCATGAAGATAAAATAAAGTCCGAAATTTTTTTTTACCATTATAAAGTATATTACATTAGCTTTAATTTAAGATATATATAAAAGTGTCAGACCTTCCGGAACACTTTCAAAAGTTACGTTGAAAAAGTTCTACTTTCTATATGCATTTTTATGTTTTGAATCCCCCCTGTATTTAGGGAAATGGTCCGATTTAAAAAAACAGTATGTCGAATGAAAGATCTATATAAATACTACTTTTCATAAAAAAATTGTAATGATTCATACATTTTTCAAAAAGTTATAGCATAATAAAGTTAAAAATGGAAAATACAAAATCGAAAATTTTCACACAAAAATAGCATTCGGTAGCCATTTTCACCATGAAGATAAGTTAAAGTCCGAAATTTTTTTTT